TACTTCTCCTTCCAATACAGTTCAGAATGGGAAAAGGAAGGGCTATCTAAACTCCACTACACTTGTAGCCCGTTAGAAAGGAAACTGGAATGCTGGTCATCAGTTGTTCTATCAGCTGGGTCATTAGAAAAAGGAACAGCTCATCTAAAAATAAAGTCAATATTTGTGGAGTCTAAACAGTTTCTTCAGCATTTCACATGCATATTTAAGCAATGAACACTATTATTCTATGCTCGTAACCACATGCCCTCAAGTCAGTAACAGTTCTCGAACATCCGACCTCTTTTTAAAGCGGATTTACAAGGAAATGTAGTGAAAGTGTCCCAAATTAGCTGGTGAGAAAGTATTATGGATCACAACTACACAGTAAATAATTGCTAGTTCTTCCAATCTGCAAAATTAGAATAAATCTGGCATTAAAAAAAAAAAAAAGAAATTTATTATATCAAATATACACAACCTTATACTTCAAAATAAACTTGACTGGACTTGGAGAATATTCAGGATGATATTAAATGTTTTAAATCCCCAAAGCTTTGAACTACAGTTAACCTCTTCCACTATGTGCTTCAGTAAGCAATTACAAAAATCACTATACCTTTACGCTTTTCACACTCACAGCTCACAAACACACAAACACAAATGAAACATAGCTTTCTTTGGGGTGGGAAATCGCCAATATCTATTGTAACACACTGACACAAAGATTAGTTTTACAGTATGACTTTATTTAGTAAAGACAGATTTTCCTGCTTTCCAATCTTTTCACACTGGCAGTCAGCAAATAAAAACAATCAAGAGCATTTATGCCTATCTTTAATTTCAGGGAAGCATTCGAAAGCGTCATGGTGCTCTGCACCACGCAGGCTATAACTGGGATGCCTTTCTAGCAAGCCCCTTGCAGGTCAGCTGAAGGAAGCCCCGACTTACCTAGGCCGTCCCAGGGAGGGCTCCGTCCGGCAGCGAGGGCAGCGCCGATGCAGACGGGACGCCAAGCTCCGAGCCACAGGCGCAGTCAGCTCCTTGGAGCGGCAGCCCTGTCTGCTATTATGTCTGCAGCGTATAAGCGGCAGCTTACCGGTATCTATACAAAAATCTGCATCTTCCTCAGAGAAAAACACTTGAAGCTTCTTACTGGCACCGCAACCTACTCCTCTATTTATGCCATCACAGCTAGTGACTAAGAAGATGCTTTTAGTGTCACAGGAGATGAAGGCTCTGGAAGGAGAGTGCCTGGCAGCTTTACTCTCACACACCGATCTGTCTTCATGCAAACGCACTTTGTCGGCGGATGGAAGTGTATTATTGCCATATACGCTACCGAGGCGAAACAGTTTCCAAGTTTTCCCACAGGGCACCAGCTCCCCCTTCAAGCTGTACCCCAATGCTTGCTCCTCCTAGTCCTTCTCCGAAGCCGAAAACAGACACACACACACACCCCGCCTCGCACCTGTCCGCTACTCCCGACTGGGAGCGACCTGCCAGCGCCGGTGCCGCCCGCAGAGCCGCTCCCGCCGGGGTTCGGGGCTCCGCTCTCGGCGGCGGGACCAGCGCCGGGATCCCGCTGCCAGGGCAGAGCCGAGCGGCAACCGCTCGCCACACAGATGCGGATAAGCAGGAAAACAGCGGCAAGGAGAGCAGCCCACTCCCATTACCTTAGCAACCGCTACGCCGCCGTCCCCGGCCGCCCCTTCGCCTCTCCTCAGGCACGGGGAAGCGCCCTCTGCATGGCGTGAGCCTGCGGGCGGGGCCGGCGGTCAGCCCGGGCTCCTCTCCGCGCCTCTTCCAAAAACCTCCCGTTCTCCTCAGCGCCCCTCAGGCTGCGGCAGGGACGGCGGCCGGGGCGACGCCGCTGGCACCAAAGCACAGCGGGCACACAGCGGGCACACGGCACCCGCCCGCCCCGCCCGGCTCCGCGCTGCCGCCGCCCGACCCTCCGCCCGGCGAGCGGGGGCGGTGACGGGGCGGCCCCGGCCCCACCGCAGCAGCGCCCGCTGCGGGCGGCCCGGCCGCGCCTCCCCCGCCCGGCACCGCCGCCGCTTCCCCCCGGTGCCGAGCCGGCCGCCCTTGCCGGTGACGGGGAGGAAGCTTCAGCCTCCACGTCCCGCCACCCCGGCTGCTTCTGGGGCACTCGGCGCAGCCCCCGGGGCCGGGCTTTGTATCTGTGTTGCACTCTTGATTATGTGTTGCATAGCTCAATTAAAGCGTTCTGCAAAATTCTTTCACCTGAGACCAGGAAAGCCTCATCTCTGGGTGACACTCCTCCAACAGCCAGGATTTCCTAGCTAATGGCTGGGCTCACAAGATGTTCAGGGCTCCGCACACCAGCATCAGTCCTAACAACCACCACATCTCAACAAAATGGTTTGGAGACCCAGCTCTTTTACACAGACCTGTCCCATAGGCAAAAGCCATTGCTGTTGGCTAGGAGGAGTTTCCACACATTAATTAGGTATGCAAAGTAGCTTGCATACTTCCTATGGATATTATTCACCGATTTCTCTGTTGGATGAGATTTTTACTCCCTTTTCCTCTAGAAGGCAAATTAAGCCCACCATGCCCAAAATTGACTGTCAGGTCTGAAAGCCATATGCTGGAAAGCAGTAGGGCAGACCACTGACAGGAGGCACCCACGCCTATCGCTGTGCTAAAATTTGTGCATTTCCAAGCTTTGGTTTCCAAACATTGGACTCACTATCACTGTTGAAACTCTGCACGGAGTTCTTAAGGCTGTCAGCTGCACAGAGGAAAGGCTACTTTACTGACCTGTGTGGCTTTCCTTAAAGGCCTTCTGTGGTGACCCTGTTCCCCCCCTTTCCTAACATCTTATCAAAACTAGGGTTAAATTTCACAAACCTGATGACTGACACCAAAAGCTATCATGTGCAGGGATATCCTGTTATTTTATGGTTGCAGTCTGCCCAGCATGCCTTCTGGTGATGTCTGGTACACTACACTGCTGCAATAATTCGAATGTTAAATTAAGAAGAAAAATTTATTTCTGGTGCAACTCTACATCACTTCCATTTCTACTGGATCAATATCACCATCTCTACCATTATTGGCTACTCTTTCCTTAGTCTTGCAAAAGCCAGGTTCCAGCCTGTACAGTTTGTACATGCTTCTTCTAAAATGTCCTTCATCATCACACACTATACATTTATTTACCTGTCACACTCAAAATTGCATCTTAGTGGCAAAAATCTGCAGCTGTGCCTCACACAAGCACATTGACCCTTACTAGACTTCACAGGGTGGTGATTCAATTGATTTCGTTCAGATTTCAGCTGTGGGCATTTAAAAACTTCTGCGGCATTTAAAAACTTCTGTGGCAGATTAAAGCATTCTGATCTTGGTGGACCTTCCCTGATTTTTTTGTTCAAAGAGATAGCACCTCTCAGACATCACAGAATATTTTTGGGATCCTTTTTTTTAAATAAAATGAATCTAAGAAGTAGTTCCATTTATATCAAGTTTAAATTTAAAATACTTGTCATGATTAACCCAAGCATGTTATACATTATTTGCCACACACAAGGTTGTCTGGCAAAGGAGGAAAGAGAGAATGGCTACCTATGAAGTAAAGATTTCTTTTTTTACAGAAATATTCTCAGCAAAGCACTTTAAATCAATAGTTATATTGAGTTATGCCAGGGTATGACTACTTGTAATATCAAGGATTAAATATTTCAGTGTCTTTTATCAGGTTTGTTCAGGAAAAACTGTTTCATGACTGCTCTACACAGTCTTTTTCTCACAGTTCCCTCAAAGAAATGTACATGCATTACACAGTGCTTAAATATATTAGGTTAACTCAGACTTAAATGCATGTTCTATAGAAATTTTCAAAATACAAGATTGATAGAGAATATTTCACATGTGTATTAACATTGGAATTCAAAGAAACTACCAGTATGTTTCCTGGCAGTATTTCCAGGCTGAGTATTACTGTACTACAGCAGGACATGATGCTGAAAAAGGATGCTGATCAGAACATTAAAGAAAAACTGACCATTGTGCTTATTTTAATTACGCTCAACAGAAGAAATTGTAGCCGACAAGTACAAACAAAAGGAAAGGAAAATGATAAATAAAAACAGTTTAAATGGCATTTCAGATTTGGATAATATTTCATGTCTTATTTCCTTCTCTCAAGTAGCAACTGTTCTTTGGTCCATGGAAGTAATAAATAGTATGAAGAAAAATGGCTTAGCAACATTTTTTAATTTCATGCATTAACTACTAAAATAAATGAAACATAATTAAAACCAGATAAAACCAAGCTAGGTTTGAATTTGCACTGATCTTTATGCTGAAAACAATGTAGTCAGACTAAGTTCATCACAGAGATCGTTTCTCAGTTTAACCTCTTTCCCAGTGGTTTGACAAGTATGATTAGAGATGCAGGAACAGTTCCATTTAGATCAGTGGGACATCTCGAGTTGATATAGAACTATGCACATACAGCAATGTTTGCAGAAAAAGACCTTCCATCTGAAACACTGTTAGGCTCAGTAAGCACTGGGGAAGAATGCATGGGGAGGGACTGGCACACATTTTTCTGGCCAGTAGGGCAGAATTTTATTGTTCCCTTGCTGCTGTACTTTATGATGAGGTCTAAAAGCCAGAAGAGACCACCATAGTCCACAGCAGGTATAGAATATCACCTATCCCTAATGATACTGAAACTGAAGAACCTGAGTTAAAATTTTCATTTTTACTAACATTTACTATTGAAAATATTTGATCAGCTTTTCTTTATCATAGATTTCAAGTACAAAAACACACCTTTCATAAAGTTATCCTATCATCTACTGAAGACTGCAGCAGTACAATACTCCCCCCATGCCTAGTAATACTCTCTTAAAGCTGTATTATCCTCATTGCTGTAAAGAGGTCATTTTATCAGCTTTGAAATGTACAGTTTTCAACCCCTGCATATCGTGGCTGTGACTCTGGAGTTACAGATGCTCAGAGGGCTTGTGCTAATTCTTACTCACAGCTCAACAGTGAGAGTCTCCAGGGTATTTCAACAGCTTCTTCACACGGGGAAAAAGAGTCACAGCACAGCATGTTCCCTTGTGATCATCTGAAAAAAAGAGTAGACACTGCTAACTTTCTGCCAATAGCATCCTCGTCTCCTGGTGCTTGAAAAGCTTGGAAAAGCAGAAGCTGGTGCAGCTGCAGTCAGTGGTTGCCGTGCTCCGAGGTAGGGCCAGTGTTTTCTTTTTAGTTTGCAAACCAACAGCGTTGTTGATCCAATGAGTAAGTGTTACCCCGTGACACTTACTTCATAAATATTCAGTAGTTGTTAATTACAAGAAAAAACAGAGCTGCTGGTTCGGGGGAGGGGGGATGTCCAGTCGTCAGGAAACTGGTGCTTTTTCCCATGAAGGCAGTACAGCAGCGTGTGTCTGTCTGGCTGAGGGCATGAAAAAAAAGCAAAGAGGTTTTCAGAGTTGTTCAAGGTAGGTTATATTTTTCATAAAATGTTTAATTTAATACTGACCTAGTTTTACAACAGTTTTCAGTGTCTTGGCTTTTCTTATCTCCTGTGTCTTATCCTACATCATTAGAACAGCAGAGCAATAGGCATTACAGACTTTGTTAAAGCAAACTAAATAAGACCTTATCTGGGGGATTAATTCTTCTCTCCTATTTTGTTTCAGGCAGTCGTTATGTTACAGTTTCTTTGCAGTTTTAAAGAGGTTTTAGCATATCTTTTATTGCACCTATTATAGGTTTGGTTTTTTTAATGTCAGCTCAAAGCCCTTTCCTTATTTCATGGTACATTTTTGAGTATCAGACTTTAGCAGCAGTCTTGAATTCCTCAGCCTTTTTACAGAGGATCCTTTGTTTTGTAAACATTCAATTAACTGCATGGAACTGGTGACTAGCTTGAGTAGCCACTTTGGAAGTGTATGGGCAGTACAGATTCATGCCAGCTTTCAGCAGGAGTAAGTTGTGAGGTGCCATTAATTTTACTTACCTTACTTCACCTACCAGAAGAAAAAAGTTATTCTGCATCTTGTCATTGAGACCAACAAATGGCAGGTCAAGTGACGTTTGCTGTCTTTTTTTTCTGTGTGCTACATACGGTGCTCTCAGATACTGTTTGATGGTACCCCTCTGTGATTCCTTGCTTGTCTTTATGGAAGTATGCTGTAAAAACTCCTAGTACTCTATTATGTGTGCTGTGTTCCATATGGATTCAGCAGAGAAAGGGAGCAACTAGACAAATGATTTCAACCATGTTGCACCAAAACACATAAGGTCTGCAGAAAAAGAGCTCTTCCTTCCACCTCAATCTCAGAGATTCTCAGGAAATTTAAGCCTTCGAGAGTTAAGTATAAGGAGCCTTGCTGTGCTGAGTCCTTCATGCATACCCTTTAAGGAAGGAAACAGCACAGGAAATGATGCCACATATGCCAGGTTTATAAGAGTGTGAGTGCTTTCTCTATAGGGAGAATTCTCCTGTGGGGATCTCAGCCCACAGAGGTTTCCATTGATCCACATTAACGTGTGTTGCAGAAATTGAACATGTCAGATTGAAAAATGCAGGTAAGGTACACTGGCAGTCTCTGAGCCATGACTTAAACAGTGTCAAGCCAAATGTATACTTCTACACCTACAAGGATCATGCAAGCTAGAAGAACAAAGACGACTTAACAGGAACCGTTCAGAGCCAGTGTGTGCTGGTCTTGTTGAGCTTCACTTAATTCCTCCCTTTGTGCAAAAGGATTTCAGCTGTCTTTGCAAACATGAAATTTGTGCCTGCTCTAATGCTTCTTAAATTTTGCGTGACTTATAACCAACTTCCCAGTGACTTGTTATCACTGGGGGGAAAAAAAGCTACGGTGATGAATTTCAGGCATGGAAGAACTTGTGCTTTGAATCTAGGAAAATCACAAACCCAAAAGTATTGAGAATATTTTTTTCTATAAAGCTAAAAACATCAGTAGAGCATTAGTAGCAGTCCCTCTGTTCAATTTTGTCAATGAAGAACACTGTGGGAAAGCAAAATTCACAGCCTTTGTAAATTCACCTGGGAAATTCCAGGAGACTCCGTTTGCTGGAAGTATTGAAAAGAGATTTGTGTAAGAAGCTCTGCCTCACACTGTCTTACCTAGAGTCCCAAAATGGACTAAGAGCAATAGAACTAATCAGAAGAGGAAAGACTCAATTTCTTCAATGTCCAGGTTCTTGCTCAAGCATAGCAGAGGCATCCTTTTCTATTCTGCCTTGGCAATCTCACATCTGAACAACTCAGAGCACTGGCTGAGTGAGGAGATAATCACAGTCTCATAGTTTCCTGTGCTAAAGACAGGTCTATAGAGGGCATTTTAGGGTTTTCTATAACAACTAGAAATATATAAAGATCTCTCCACATCTTCTTTCAGTTCATCAGGAGATCATTTTCTTGATATCTAACAATGTTTATTCTTTTCTGTCCTTTAGTCAAGAACAGCCTTCTGCTTGGACTCCATCCATCTGATCTGAACTTGTAAAGTTTTTCTGAACATGGTAGAGTCTCCACTTCTGCCATGTCAGGTGTCCAAATATTATGAGAACTCATGGTACTAAGTGGCAGAAATATGAGAATTCCCACAGAATTCAGCTTTTCTCCAGATGGTCCTTATTTGCTGGTCTGGAAAAGGTGCAAAAGGAGTACTTATTCTGACTAAATTGTAACATCCTTGGCTTTTTTCTTCTGTGATATTGCAAAAGTTTCCTTTGGACATTTTTTCTGCTTAAAGTAGGTTTTATATGATTAATTACATAAGCTGTGATGGGAACTGCTGCGCAGTGGGAATGAGGAGCCTGAAGTGTGGAGGATGGCATGAAATGTATTTAAAAAAAACCCCTTAAATCTAGCAAAATACAGTATGTGCCTTTCATAGTCCTGATCATACTGTTTGTTTGCTATGTCTCTCTCTCACCACTATTTATCTGAGTCATATTAAAATATGCATTTTTCACAGCAGAAACTATATCATCTTCTGCTTTTGAAAAAGTATTTACCATGTGGAAGAAACTGCAAACATCACCATAAACCATGTTTCTTTTCTGTACTTGGATGATTTATAGTACCCACCAACACAGTTCAAGTATTGAAATGCATGTCTGTGTGTTTGGGTATCTATTCTATATATATATTCACATTGTGTGCACATACACTTTTATATATAAAATCTTTTCTCTAAAAAATGTGCAGGGTGTTGATGATTTATCTAAATCACATGGTACTACTTCTCCCTCTTAGGCTAAACATCACAGTGCATGTTCTGGTTTTGGCAGGGAAGATTAACATTTGGCATTTGCTTTTGGTTACTTAATTTTGTTTCTTTTTTTTTTTTTCCCCTATTAACAGCAGTTAAGCCTGAACAGTCAAACATTTCTACAATTTGAATAAGTCCTTAAAACTCACTTACAAATTTACATGACAGTTAATGTATTACTTTTCAATTATTGTTCCAGCTTGTCTGTTGCTGAGAAAGTACTGCAAAGGGAGGAGATCTGGCTGAGTGGGGGTCAGTTGTGCAGCACTCACTAAAATGAGTGGGAGGTGGGAGGCAGAAGGACTCAAAATATTAGCCTAGGAAACCTGATTTTTCTAAGCCCTCGCTAGGGGCGGTGGGAAAAGACACTTAGAGATTCAAAGCTGGAGCATAACCTCAGATGCTCAGAGCTGTGACAGAAAGAATCTTTCTTTCTTTCTCTCTGCTGAGCAAAGGAAGCCCATAAGAGGGTTTGCCTCTCTGGAGTGCAGTCATCCTTTCCTAGGTTTATGAATCCTCTTTCCCTAAAAAGCCAGGAATCCAGATGCCAGTTTTGCAAATCTCAGCAATGTGAAATATGAGATGGATCCCAGGGCTCAGTTCTGGTCTTATCTTCCTCCTCTCCAGACAGAACAATGCCATTGGCAGCTCTCTCCTTGAAGCACACTCCTTACTTCAGTATTCAGCCTGCCAGCCTGTGACAAGAGAGACTGATACAGTCCAGTTCAATTAAAACACATTTCAAACTGTTTTGCTCTCTTAAACTAGAATGTGAGAACAAAACACTTGGACAATGCATAATTCAAAATCATGCATAGGTCCTATTTAAAACAAAACAAACAAAACCAACAAACACATTAGTTTGGTTATTTTTTTTCCTAATTATTCAAGAAAATGCTTTAAATCTGCATTGCCATTAACAACTCCATAAAGCTTTAAAAGATGTAATACACATCATGTCAGGATCTCAAAGAACATATATATTTGTGTGTGTGTGTGTGTGTATGTGTATATACATATATATATATACACACATATGTATATAAATGGTAATGAAACAGTGAGTCCTTAAATCTACTTGCAGGTAAATAACTATGGCAGGCATAGTTAAAAATCTGCCATCTTCAACCGCTTGGGCTGAAGTGTTTCACTCTATGGATCAGCACCAGGCTGGATTATTTTTTCCTTTTTTTATTTAATGTTTCAGCAAAATCAGCTTAACTGGTTCCAAGGAGATTTGATAAAAAGGCTTTTCCTCATGTTAAATATATTCTTATAACTGAATATGCCCATGTTTTGAGTCTATTGTTAAAAATGTATCAGGGAGATGGGCCTTGCTGACAAGGATATGCTATTCTGTGAAAATCTGCCCAAATTTTGACAAGTTACAAATTCTGAAATTTTCAACTTGTTCCTGCTTACATTCTTAGGAGATTGAAGGCTAAATTCCCCAGAAGCTGATTGCAGTGATATAGATTCAGAATAGTATATTTAATTTTAACTAGATTTGTAAATTACTCAGTTGAAGGTGGGGGTCTCATTATTATTATCAATTTTTAACCCAGAAATGGACTGAAAATCAACAAGTCTATGCTACTGCTCATGGTAGGCTCAGTTATGCCTAAGTTAACAAGTTCTTGAAGACATTCAGTGCTTCCAGTGCCATAGACACTCCAGGATATTTCTTTTGTTTAGTAAACATTATCTGTACAAGGTTTTATCCTAATATTGAAGATGAATCTCTTATTAAAATTGAAGTTCATTATTTCTTGTCCTCCATCATGGATGTAGAAAGCAGATTATCACTGTTCTCCTTGGAAGACAGTTTCACATTTTTTAAGACTTTTATCCATTTTTCTCTGTCAGATTAGATAGTATCAATTTTCCTGCCTTACGACTTGTTTTTTTTCAGTGCCTCACCATTCTGATTATCCTCCTCTAGGACATCCCCAGTTGTTTCACATTATTTTTGTGTCCACAATTGTACACATCGCTCTTGCTGACGCCTCACCAGTGCTGAGCAGAGCACTCTACACCTGCACAGACAGTCCAGGATGGAGTTCCTCTTTTTTGCATTATTTCCTCCTGTTCAATTTTTGATCTAGGAAGTCTGCTAAATATTTTCCCACAGAATTCCTGTGAAAATAGTTCCTTGCTGTTCTGTTTCTGCAGTTCCTTACTTCTGTCTAAATGTTGCTCTTATTCATATTGAATGCTATGCATATTTTTCAGATCATACCTGCCATTTATCAAGATCACTGAATATTAATCATCTCTTCTAACATACTTGAAGTCTCTTGCTGCTTGAAATTATCTGCAAATTTAATAATGATTCTTTTTGTGTCATCTTCCAGCTCATTAATGAATGCTACCAGACTTAGAGCAATCCTTTGTGGAACTTCATGAAACTCATCCTTACCTTCTTGACAATGAAATATCTGTAACTGCTGCTTGAGCATGGTCTGCTAATGCAACTCAGCACTATATTTTCATAACAAATATTTGCAAGTTCACAATTTGCCTTCTGCAAAACAGTTGTTTAAAACTCATTCTTTCTTGCTTTTTCTTTTGCTTCCTTTTTGCCAGGAAATTATTTTATTAAAATATTAACAGGACTCAGACTTCAAAGGAGATTAAGCAGAGGCAAAGCAAATTTCATCTTTCATTGAAATACATAATTGTGGGAAATATCTTGAGATGCAATTCTAGTAGTATTCACAGAAGACAGTCACTCTGTTAGATACTGCCTATCTCTCATTGTCCTCCCTCCCAAAAAGTTTTCTCAGATTTAGGTCAGCAGCTAATGGCAAGAACATACAGGAAAACTTAAGTATGAAAGATGGAGAAAAAAGTCCTTAGTATTCCATTGAACCTCCTCACTTTGAGTGTAATCTTTGTATTTGCAGTGACTTAGAGATCTTATGCTAGTTTTGCTCCTTTGAACCACATGTTGTGCAAAGGAATAATATTCTCCATGACCTAGGGAACATAGAAATGGCAGAGCATATTTAGGAAAGGCTCACAGATAGTTTATGGGGTTGTGAACTATAATTTACCCACAAAAGCTAAAAAGACAGAGTTC